TTTTTCAACCCAAACTCGTTAATCTTGACGATTTTTACGAATCAACTGTCATCATTAAAACTATTTTTTCTGTATAATGTCCGGTTTATTATCTTCGACTTTTAGAATACTTTACAATTAACCCTGCGGTTGTAATGGTCACGGACGTATTGCAACCGTAAAGACACGTCGTAAAAACACAAAAAAAAACCTTTGTTCCGCATACAATTAAGTTTTGAAATTATGATTCTTTAATAAATCAAAGATGATCGGTTTCTTTTTGTCCTTGCCAATTGTCCTGCTAATACAATTAACATCACTTATGCAGTGCGTAAAGAACAATCGTTCCCGTTGTATAATTAATCTAACTGTTTTTAATCGGAAAACTGGCATGTGATAATTATTTATTATTGACTAGAAAATATACAAATACATTATGAAACATATTTACGATATAGGTAAAGTTTACGTATACATCCAGTCTTGCAAGTTTGCTATTTTGTTTGCGAAGCAGCTATTCCTGTTGTTTTCAATAACAGTTTAGTAGATCGCCGCTCAGTATCACTGGCGAATTAACAAATATGTAGATATTAAATGAAAAAGATAATATACGAACTATATTTGAGTATTAGTGAAAGAAAACTTTTACATTCGTTGATTTCTAGAAGATCTCAGTTACAGAAATACTTTTATTTTACTGTGAACTAGCTGACCCGGCAGACTTCGTAGTGCCTCAATCGATAAATTAAATACACAAACAAAAAGAACCCGTCCGACGGGGGAAATCAAAGAGAAAACAAAATTGTTATTTTTATTTAATTCCGAGCATTTTCATATTTATCTACCTTTTAAACCTTCTCTGGACTTCCACAATAATTCAAGACCAAAATTCGCCAAATCGGTCAAGCCGTTCTCAAGTTTTAGCGAGACTAACGAACAGCAATTCATTTTTATATATTACTAGTCGACCCGGCAGACATCGTAGTGCCTCAATTGATAAATAAAAGACACGAACAAAAAGAACCCGTCCGACGGGGGACACATCAAAGGAAAAACAAAATTGTTATTTTTATTTAATTCCGAGCAATTTCACATTTATCTGCCTTTTAAACCTTCTCTGGACTTCCACAAATAATTCAAGACCAAAATTTGCCAAATCGGTCCAGCCGTTCTCGAGTTTTAGCGAGACTAACGAACAGCAATTCATTTTTATCGATATAGATATATATATATATATATATATATAGATTGTATTTATTTTTTCCTGTGTACTTCGTAGCTCCATACATTGAAGCCTGCGAATTCTCCAATGAAAACCTCGAACAGTGCATCAAAGAACAAATAGAGAAGAGTCTGCCTGAGTTTACGAAGGGTATTCCTGAACTGGACGTTCCTTCGACTGACCCAGTGCATCTGGATGACATTAACATCGACGGCAACGGGTTGAAACTGACATTCACCAAAGCATTAATGCATGGCTTAAAAGGCAGTCACCTAAAAGAATTTAAGTAAGCATTTCAAATTTAATTTTAGACTACAAATTCGAACAGACGTCAATTAATTAAATTTATTACAATTTATTTTATTGGTTATAAACCGGATTTACACGAGCCAACATTATTTAGTTTTAATCCATTTTACAAGTATATTATAATTAGAGTCGATTCTCCTTGAAGTTGTTCACTGACGATTTAATTAAAAATGATCATTTAAAAATGATTAGATATCTGAATTTAATTTAAATATGAATTCTACCAACCGTTCATTTAATAAATAATCAATCTTTAAATACTATATAAATTTCATTTAGTACTAAAAGATTTTAATTTTCAGGCTTAAATTCGATGGTGACCACGGAAATTTCAAATTGGCCTTCATAAGCAACATGAGCTTAACAGCTGAATATGAAGCCGACGGAAAACTTCTCATTTTACAAATTAAAGGAAAAGGAGACGCCCTCATCAACTGCGGTACCTAATTAAAATGTGTCATTAATAATCATACCATCAATTATTTTTTTATTTAACATTTTTTAAATATGCAAGCTATTTTTCTCATACTAGCATAAGGACGATTTTTACATAAATCAATGCAGTCTAGATTATCTTGACCAGTTCCATTTTCCAAATATTTTAATATCGTTCAGATAAACATATAAAGACTTCCTTGATGTAACAGAGCTCTGAGGCACCCAGTTTTATTATTCAAGTCATTTAAAAATATCCATCATAGCGGATTTATAATAAAAAAACAAAAAAAAAACTTTATGCTTTATACATACTATAATATTATATTGGATAAACAAGTTTCTGCTTCAAAGGCATGTCTTTCCTTAATACTTTAATTATTGTAACTACTGTTTAATATTGTTTTTTTCCCCTACCTAATCGTTGGTAACTAAGGGGCTAACTGGTAGGTGAGCTCACGAGGCTCTACGTGGGAGGACTTGCTATCATCGGCCTTAGCTAGAGAACTGGTTCGTTGATTCTACCACCGGACCGTATTCGTGACCCACTGAGAAGAACCGGCGAGATACTCAGTGGGCTGTGTCTATGGACCATGGGTTCCATGTCGAAGTCTTTGAACGTCTAGCGTATTCGACGTGAAAGGTGACCTGATGCTTTTAGGCACTCCAAAAGTGGATCGAGAGGATCCGATAAGACGTGCTTAGAAAATTAATTAGAAAATATTATTTAATATCATTAATGTATAATATTATTAGATTAGAAAATATTATTAGTGTAATTAGAAAATATTGTAATATTGGCCTCTGAGAATTCCTTTTGAGAAACATGAAAGGTAAAACTAGGTAAAAATGGAAATGAAAATTTCATTAACTGTATTTTTTTTTCTTGGTTTCAGTAAACNAAGACGTGCTTAGAAAATTAATTAGAAAATATTATTTAATATCATTAATGTATAATATTATTAGATTAGAAAATATTATTAGTGTAATTAGAAAATATTGTAATATTGGCCTCTGAGAATTCCTTTTGAGAAACATGAAAGGTAAAACTAGGTAAAAATGGAAATGAAAATTTCATTAACTGTATTTTTTTTTCTTGGTTTCAGTAAACGTGGACGTTGAAATAGAGAGCAAATTGAATCAAGTTAAGGACAACAACGGAAAAGATCATTTAAAACTCGGCACTCCTTCATACAAATACAATATAGAGAAGACTACGTTCGATTTGAAAAACTTGTTCAACGGAAACAAAGAATTGGGTGAGACAGAACTTTTATTTACGCAATTTTCAACTCTTTAACTAAATTTTAGAATATACCTGCACTTGACATTGGCGAAATCTAAAAGGAAACGTCATAAACCTAAGAGATAGATAGATAAAATTTAGAATATATTTTTTAAAACTAGCTTAGTGTTTATTTATTTTAAATTTAATGTCTTAAATTTTAGTCTTTAACCGAAATCTTTATTTAACAATTATTATATGGGTAAAGTAAAACAGAACGGAATTAAATGAGACGCGACTTGGTCTAGTAAGCGTAGGATGAAATGAAATAAGCTCTCATAAAATAGTGGACATTTATTACCAACTGGTACACGGTACCGGGTAGGTCTTATTTGACAAATTTCTAATTGAGTTTGTTTTTCAGCTGACACAACCCTGCAGTTTGCCAATGAGAATTGGCAACAGCTCATGGACGACCTAGCACCTCCTGCTATCAAGCAAATCGTTAAGACAGTTGTCAAAGCGATCAACAAATTCTTCGCGAGCGTCACAACACAACAAATTCTTAAAGGATACTCGCCTTGAACTAAACTAACGTCCTCTATTCTTTATCAAAATACATATTTAAAATTTCATATCGAGTTCGTATCTGTGATAAACGATGTCTTAATATAACAATATGTGAATGTATTTGTTTTTTCTTCAAATTTATCTACTTTAAAAAAAAAAACTTGGAAAAACCAAAACTACTGATAAAGACTTTTTAGGGTCGAATCGATTGCGTTGTGAAATTCGCCGTAACAAAATTTACGAAAAAGTCGTTATGATAATAGTCTAATAACTGTTATTAGACATGTATGGATGTGGGAATACTGATTAAATGAAAATCAACTTATTAAATCATTTCAGTTTAATAGAAAAATAAATAATACATTGCAATATAATTCGGTATCACAGAAAAAGATCGCAGACAGCGACGCCTAATAAGCTGGTAGATAATGATATAAATAATTCATGACAGGTCCAGAGACGCGAACGAATCATAAACACTTTTTTTCCTTGCTGCTCTACGTCCGTATTAATTTGTATATTATCTATCCAAATAATATTATAAGCCCAAATAGTCCATAATAATAATTCTTGTTTCCTGTTATTCAAGATGTTTACTTAAAAACTAAAATATGTAATTTTTATTAAGTATACCCGTTTCGTACTTTATAAAATAATTTTATTTTATTTTATAATAAATAAAAAAACAAATGGACTTCTTGAAAGAAAGCTGGACTATAAAATCCAACAGTAGGGTCACAAGTCCGCTAGCATTCTTCGTATAATTCGTATAATATTTATTCCTCTCTCTGCAACACGATAGACCCGTCACTCGCACGGTGATTTGCTAAGAAATTCCTCCCTTCGTTTTATTATCATTTGAGCGTCTGATAGATTTTAATTATCTTCGATTATTACTTTGTTTTCAACAGATTATTAATTCGGATTACAATTCATGTGTTTACTTAAAATTTTAACAATTGAGACGTCTCTGTCATATTTAAAAAAAAACAGCGTCATTAATCTTTGAAAAGTAACTGAGTAAACGTGTCATCTTTATTTTCATTTTTCAATATTGTAAAAGATCTATATTTTTTATCGGATTTTAACTATTTCGAAAGATAGATGAGAGAATAAAGAATAAAGAAAAATTAATAGAATAAAGAAATATAATAAAGAAAGATGCATTTCGGTTTGAAGGGTAGGGCAGCCGTTGTAGCTATACCTGAGACCTTAGAACTTATGTTTCACAGTGGGTGGCGCATTTGCGTTGTGGATGTCTATGGGCTCCAGTAACCACTAAACACCAGGTGGGCTGTGAGCTCGTGCACCCATCTAAGCAATAAATAAAAAAGATAAAATCTTTAGTACTTCAACCAGTTTGAATACGTATGTGATTATGAAATGTCGCGAGACCCGGCCTTCTGGGATCCATTAGCGCTTCCACTACTGTCGCTGTCTTTGCGCCAGCTAGCCGCAGAAAACGTTTGGAGGGACACGTTATCTGTTCTGCTGCTAGAATCTGTTTTTCGCCAATAAGAACGAATTTTCTCGCGTTTGTACCACAAAACACTTATTAAAACTACAGCCAGCAGAACAACGCCACCCGCCATCCCCAATATATCGGCTCGAAATCGAACTGCACCTGAAATAAATTAAAATGCCATTAAAATTATTATACAGTTGTGTTAGGCGCTACGTAATCGCGATTCACATCATGTTTATATCCGCCTTAATTTAATCTTGAAAACTTCATATTTAATGCCTAGAACAGTGCTTCCCAACATTTTTTCGTTCCCCTACCCCTTAAATTTTCGTTTATTAGTATGTTTCCCTGATAACTTCATACCTACTCCTGAAAATGCATCTCTTTTCTCTTAACAAATACAAAATTGGACAGGCGCTATACAAACAAAAATATTGTATTTTACCAACTCAGCACTCATAGTGTAGAGCATTAGTAAGCTATTAGTTATAAAGTTCATTTTAATCTACATATTGTAGACATAATTCATTATAATCGTGTTTATATAAGTTAACTAAGCACTTAACTAAGAATTTAAAACTTTCTTCTCAATATTTCCGCCATTTCCAATATAATTTTCACGTACTCCCAATAGGACCCCATAACCCTCAGAGGTACGCGTACGACAGATTGGGAATCACTGGCCTAGAGTGATATTAATTTTAAAGAGTTTTATTGAGTCAGTCGAAAAATACGCATCAATTATTATGTAAAATTTAATTATAACAAATATGCTATCACTGAAAAGTCGGTGTACATCTATGCTGATTTTTTTTTAAGTTAAGAGCACAATACTTTTCGAAATTATATTCCATTCGTTTGGATGTTTTCTCCATTGGCAGTTGTTCTCGCATTGCTATGTAATTGACTCACATAAAAATAGATAATCGGAAAACAAGCTGAATCCTTACGTCTTTCGTGTGATTGAAACTTTAGATAGATCATTCTATAGGGTTCTGACCGGCTTTTTGAAATCGCACACTGTTTATATTGATCAGGATATTAGAACGAAGTTACCAAAGTAAATTTATTGATATCATTCCAAGATGCGTTTGGAAATTTTCAAATTAATCGGACGTTTTTAAGTTGTCGAAAGTGACGTTTAATAACTCCGTTACACACAAAGAAGCACACATATGTACATACCGAGTCAATAAGCGTGTTAAAAAACGTTGACTCGAAATAAGCATAATCAGTACATAATATAATCTAAATCTCATTATAATATAATTATTAATATCGACGCTTGAAAGACAAACGTGACTAAGCGACAATAACTGCTTTATACATAAATGATAAGCAATAATCATATTTGATGCGCAAAAAAAATATATTTCTAGGTCCATTAAAATCATTCCAATCCTACAGCTAGATTCGTTAATATAGATTTTTTTTCAGATATTTCAACTTTAAATTAGTCTACTGTAAAGTTCACGCATCGTCGCTTAGTCACGTTTGCCTTTCAAGCGTCGATATACATAATATGTTGTCTCGCCCCCGCTTTTGGGATCTAATCCTAAAATATACTACTATACTAATAAAACTCAATACTAATAAATACTACTTACTTCTTTGTTCGACGTAGAGTGTCATGATGTCTCTACTCTCCGCGGCCTCGTCGTGTAGTAGAGCAGCGCATGTCCACTCTCCTAAGTCATCATTGGTTACCGATATAATCGTCAAAGAACAATCACCATAATCTAAATCTCTGCCGGTTGTAAAAAAGTATCTGCCCAGTATTGCGCTGAAAATTTAGGTTACGTTTGTTTTTTTGTTTTTAATCTAATTTCACTGTATCATAAATTGTTTAAATCATTTTTCCAATTTCATCCGCGGCCGCCCCGCCCTTTAAACTGAAACGCATTATTGCTTCACGGCAGAAATAGGCAGGGCGGTGGTACCTACCCGTGCGGACTCACAAAAGGTCCTACCATCAGTAAATATTTAAATTTGATCATCGTACTTACTTTTCCTTTGTAACAGACGGATCAATGCTAATGCCGACAAATTTTGGGGACAAGAACCGACAGTATTCCAGCGGTCTGTTCCCATTCGAAGTTTTACAAAACAATGTAGCACTCCCATCAATCACCGTAGGGATCTCCTTTTGACTAGCCGCTAAAGGACCAGTCACACGAACTACTAATTTATCGGTAATTTCGACTCCCATTTGCCTTCTTGGACCCATATGACAAGTCCATTCACCGGAATCTTCATCCGTAGCGTAAGAAAACGATATACCACAATCGCCAGTTTGAAGACTTTCACCGGCATACCTACAATCGCGAAAATAATATCATAAATTTTGCAAGGCCGCTTGTATCCGTCTATTATTCTCAAAATGACTTAAAAGTGGGGGGGGAGCTATTCTAGTGATAGGGCATTTAAAAGGCATATAGACCCATGAGATGTATGTAAATAGTGGTCTACAAACAGGTCTGATGGACCTGAGATCTTTGCATATTAACCAGGATGTGTGGGCGAACTCGGGGCTCAGCCGGCTAGAAAACAGTTTGCTACAGTGGCGTAGCGTGGTGAGGGCGGGGGGGGGGGGGTGGCCCGCCCTGGGCGATACTTTTTAGGGGGCGGCAAAATTTCACAATGAATAATAAAAATATTTGAACCTTTTCATATTTTTATCGCAACTACAAATTTGGACCGATTGAACTGGCAACACCGTCTATACTGACTCGCGGGGATTCCCCGTATTTTATAATAGTAAGGAATTACGTGATACTTTGACAATTCAAAGAAAGTTTTATTGATGGATTGTCAGTTGTCCATTCCACATTGACCTAATGTGGCTGCCACAAGTGGTTGAAGTAGAATATTTTTTGTATTAATAAACGCGATTGTAACACTTAGATAATTTTATTTATTTCAAATCTTACCTGTAGATATAATGCAAAATAATGATGCCTGCTCTTGCCAAAAAAAATTCTAGAATTAATGTATAGTGTACATCAGAGTGAAATACCTAAATAAAAGGGCGGCAAAATTGTATTCCGCCTCGGGCGACTGACACCCACGCTACGCCACTGGTTTGTTAATAACTGCCCGAGAACCTCTGAATGATTCCTAGTATCTCCAGCAGCTGATTGGCGAATGAGTTTACCACCAGCGGTATCGCGACCCACCGAAACGATCCGACGAGAAACTCGAGCACCGAAAGTCAATTAGCTGGATCGATCTGAAAGAAGTTTACCTGTATAGGTACTTACTTGTACAGAAACGTGCTTGTGGCCAGGTGTTATTTTCTGTAAATCTAATCCGATCGGTCCGATCCCCACCATTTATGTGTATGACAGAATTAAATTGAAAGAAAAGCAAATTTAATAGTCACTATCCTAAACATTTACTCACTGATCGACGACACCCCTTCCACTCCTTAAGTTGCCATGTTTATAAGTTATGCAAATGAATATATATCTGACAAAACCAACAACTGTTTGATAATCACCAAAATAAACTGTCATCGGAATCATCGCTCCGTGGCACAGGAGTGTACTGGGTTCCGTTCGGATGTTGAAACCAACAATAGCTCAATGAAACCTCAGCTCTGCACGTTATTGTGAAACCCATATCCCTTTGTACAAAGATCGTTCTACTCGCAATGCTGTCTTCATTAACTTCATTCATGATTCTTGAACCTGCAATAGAATAATCTGTACCATTCTGTTTAAAGCTTGTCCAGTCTTGTCCATATTCCGTGCGTTTTATCACTTTCCGGCAAAAAATGTTCCAAAGTTCTTAGCGGCAGATATTCTGATATAAATATGCCATACGTACCTACCTTCCCTAACACTCACATGACTTGATTAAAAAATAAATGGACATTCATCAAGAATTAACATTCACTTATTGAAGACGTGACTTTGATAAAAACTAAAATATCATGATACTTTAAATACATCTATAATCGTTAATACAGATAAAAATCACAAAGTCTAACAATTATTAAAGTAAGCGTTAATTCTGAATGTCACTGAACACATGCACGATCATTCGACGTAAAAAGCTCATAATCATAATCTGCTTTTTGTTACATTTATACCTACATATATTGGTTTTGAGTTTTTTTTATTGCGTAGACGATCATTAAAGCCTCAACTGGTGTTAAATGGTTAGCGGAGCCCACTGAATACCGTCAATCACCTCGAGACGTGAGTTCTAAGTCTCAGATCCATAGTTTGCGACCCCCCGACCTTCAAACCGGAACGCATTACCGCTTCGCGGCAGAAATTACGGAAAAGGACCTGCGCGCTCACAAGACACCCTTTTTTTAACGCAGGGGAATCCATTTGCGGATACCCATCGAGGGGGGTAACTGACCGGGTTATGTCGGACTCCGGCGCCTCCATAGAGGAAGAGGAAGACGAGGAAGACCAATCACAAGACACCCTATCATCAGTAATACGCAAATTGCGCGTTTCATTCTTATTACCTGTTGTTTTTCCTTCATCTTGGCAGTCATTCGTGAACAAGAATTAAATACATATTTAATTACGTACTTATACAAATCGCTCGACACTCTTAAATTGTACTAAATAAATCAAAATTACAAATTGACAAACCTAAATTGTATGGGGAAACCCTAATCAACGCTTGCATCGGTGTCCTCTGGTGTATTTGAGTGCCGACCCTTTCCTGAACTCCCACAGTACACCGCCACGTACCGAACACTTGTTCAGTTGGATTTTCCACCGTCATACCACAGTGCCGCATCTCGAAACCGTCCCCGTAATAACTGTGACCAAATATCGAATATTTAACAGTGCCACGCCATCCCCGTAATAGCTGTGATCAAATATCGAATCTTATACCTTTAAACAAGCGATTATTGTATATTAATATATACTTATATAATCTGAATCTCGGAAACGGCTCCAACGATTTTCATAAAATTTAGTATACAGGGAATTTCGGGGGCGACAAATCGATCTAGCTACGATTTATTTTCAGAAAAGGTTGTTTTATTCGTGTTTTCAATAATCAACTCTTCCCGACATCTATTGGCGAATAATAATACTATTTTTCTTAATTGAGGGCAACTAACCGCTTTATAGACACAAGATGGCGTTATCAAAAAAAATCGGTCATCATCTTGTATGTAACAGTGTTACGACTGATTGATAAACGACGAATATCACATCATCTTATGTGATATGAGACATGATATCATCTTAAGTGATAACGACAAGGCATAAAATCAAAGAATATACTTCAAATTTACTAATTTAATTTAAACTCCATTCATTACTTCGAGGGGTGAAAGGCTTTTGGTTTAAGCGACATTTCTCTTAATACGTGACATTTACTATTTATCTTTATAATTAAAGGTTCGTTTTGTTTGGTGTTAGCATCAACAATGCGATGTTTTTAAATGTACTTTAATTAAGTTTACCCCATTCAAATAGCTAAAGAAGTTTTTTGTTATGATATTTTGTCCAAATTTTATACTTTATATAATTCTCCTGTTTTGTGCCGAAATGTTACTTAAACCAAATAGTCTTTCACCCCCGACTTAAACAATAGATGTGTATCTAATTGAAAGGGAGTAGGCGTATTGGACACATTCACATATAGATTTTATTGATGCAAGCTTTGTCGACATTATTGGAATCTATTTATTTATTTAAATATTAATTTCTCAAAGATCAAACGGATACCTCAAATCATTTACTATAATAGATCTAATTCCACTGACAATTTATTAAAAATTTGATTACTTATTAATAATACAAAGTTTGATAAAAGAATTTAAAACCTATGTTTACTGTTCAATTATTGAGAAGAACGTTTTATTAAATTTTATATATCCGCAGATCCAAATATTGGAACGAAGTTCCTTATCGCGCGTTGTGAAAGGGGGCTAGACGGAAAAAATTCTTACGAAAAGTTGTCACGACACTTTTTAGATCCGTCATTCTGACCAATCAACGTGTAGGCGCTTATCGCGTGACATTGCTCGTATCCGATTGGTCCGCGTAATGAGTACAGTTTCTCGAGATAGCGTTTCAACAATAGTAATTTNCCGTCATTCTGACCAATCAATGTGTAGGCGCTTATCGCGTGACATTGCTCGTATCCGATTGGTCCGCGTAATGAGTACAGTTTCTCGAGATAGCGTTTCAACAATAGTAATTTAGTTCATAGTATTGTTTTTTTCTTCTTCATAATGCCGTAATTTATTATTATAACTTAAAAAAAAATTACAATTCCTTCACTAATTAATCAAAAGGAACTTCGTTCCATCCGGGTGTCCCTTGACACCTCTGAAGTTTTTTTTTTTAAATTTATTTCTGCCGTGAAGCAGTAATGCGTTTCGGTTTGAAGGGTGGGGCAGTCGTTGTAACTATACTTGAGACCTTAGAACTTATATCTCAAGGTGGGTGGCGCATTTACGTTGTAGATGTCTATGTGCTCCAGTAACCCCTTAAGACCAGGTGGGCTGTGAGCTCGTCCACCCATATAAGCAATAAAAAAAAATTATCTGTCCTCAACTTTATCCTGTATTTATATCAAAGTGAAAAACATTAAAATTAGCTGAATACCTGTGCGCACCGTCGCTCAAGCCGTTCATAATATTATAACCAACATGTTCCGTTATCTTTTGGAAACGACAAAATGTGATATTCTTCTGTGTATGCAATATGTTGCAGTACAAATGTAACTTCTTAGCATTCGTATCTTGTACGTATCCCGTGTCCAAACTTTCAACTAAAAATCATATATGAATCAAAACAACAATATGCAACACCTGAATTTTATTATGTACTAGCTGACCNAAGCAGTAATGCGTTTCGGTTTGAAGGGTGGGGCAGTCGTTGTAACTATACTTGAGACCTTAGAACTTATATCTCAAGGTGGGTGGCGCATTTACGTTGTAGATGTCTATGTGCTCCAGTAACCCCTTAAGACCAGGTGGGCTGTGAGCTCGTCCACCCATATAAGCAATAAAAAAAAATTATCTGTCCTCAACTTTATCCTGTATTTATATCAAAGTGAAAAACATTAAAATTAGCTGAATACCTGTGCGCACCGTCGCTCAAGCCGTTCATAATATTATAACCAACATGTTCCGTTATCTTTTGGAAACGACAAAATGTGATATTCTTCTGTGTATGCAATATGTTGCAGTACAAATGTAACTTCTTAGCATTCGTATCTTGTACGTATCCCGTGTCCAAACTTTCAACTAAAAATCATATATGAATCAAAACAACAATATGCAACACCTGAATTTTATTATGTACTAGCTGACCCGGCAGACGTCGTAGTGCATCAATAGATAAATAAAAGACCTAAACTTTTGTATAAAATAAACTTAAAACAAACAAAAGGAATCCGTCTGACGGGGGACACATCAAAGGGAAAACAAAATTGTTATTTTTAATTAATTCCGGGCATTTTCATATTTATCTAAACCTTTTAAACATTCTCTGGACTTCCGCAAATAATTCAAGACCAAAATTAGCCAAATCGGTCCAGCCGTTCTCGAGTTTTAGCGAGACTAACGAACAGCAATTCATTTTTACATATATAGATAGAAGATAGATTAAAAAAAAACTTTTTGTATAGTATAACAAACAGTAAAAAACACAACTACACAGATTTCTAAGAAAATGTGGATTATCAATAGCTCTAGTACTTCACAACGAAATTGAATTTATACGTAATTGTGTCTATCATTTTAATAATTATTGTCATGATCCTCATCAAAACATCATTAAGTTTGGGATACTCTGTACACGACTTTATTTGTGAAGAAATAGGTATAATACATGTAAACCATGGTTGATTGATGAAGATTAAATTTTAGTCATTGATGGGCCCTCATTTGAGTTCTCGTACAAAACAGAAATGGTTCTGGGATGAACGCTCCCACCCACGGCGTTTCTTGAACTTCATGAATTTTATTATTATCATCTCTGATCAATCGAAAATTGAAAAGAGTCCGCTGCGGAAGGCAACAGATTGGATGCTTACTCAACACTATTGATGCCAATGAGCGCCAGTGACCTCTTACTACCAAGGAAGTCGAAAGGTCGTCTACTTCGTAAATGTACCTGTGTACATTAATAGTGAAACTTACCCTCCACCTCAACTTTGGTGTTGGCTTGTACTTCTGCTACTTGTCCTGGCAGACCAAGGACAACATTCCAATTCCCTTGAACTGCTCTCGTGGTCCGATCCAAAGTCACGCTGCAGTGTCCAGGCACAAACGAAATATCAGAAAAGGGCTGTTCAACCAAACAGTAGGCGCTGTTGAGCGTAGTGAGGTCAACATGAGCGTGCCTTTCCCCGTCTTGTAGAGCTATTGTTGTTGGATGGTATTCTGGTATTTCATCTGTGAGGTTTTAACAATTTTATTGTAGTCAGTCTCATTATTTTTTGTTCGGTGACATTTAAGGATCGAAAGATTGGTTGTGGCCCTAAGGCCTTTTCAGTTGCACCAGGACAGATGGCCAACTTGGGCTGGAGTAAGATTTGCTCACAGCTGCTCAAACACCTGGGAAGGAGACCTAACAGCTCGTTGGGAACTGCTTCGGGAATGCATCTACTACCAGATATGTGGACCCGCACGGGTAAGTACCATCAGCCGGTCTATTTATACCGCAGAACAGTCATGAACTCCGGTTTGAAGGGTGGAACCGCCGCGCCGTGTTAAAAGACAGCATGATAACCCACCCATACGAGCTTACAATACACCCTGCTATCAGTAAGTGCCGCCTGTCCACGATCGTTGACGCGTAGTATTTTTTTATAAAAAATGGTACCTGCGGGCTTTTTTTATTGCTTAGATGGCTGAACGAGCTCACAGCCCACCTGGTGTTAAGTGGTTACTAGAGCCCATAGACATCTATCTACAACGTAAATGCGCCACCCACCTTGAGATGTAAGTTCTAAGGTCTCAAGTATAGTTACAACGGCTGCCCCACTCTTCAAACCGAAACGCATTACTACTTCACTTCGATTCGAACATCGGCATAATCGCTTAGCTCAATACGAATACCTACACCGAGCATCTTATCCTTCAGGCCAGGACGACGTCAAATTAGCAATCGACATCGATGAACATTGTTAGGTCACATCTATTAATTCTGATCGCGCAGGAGCCAATCACCGTCGACGCCCTAGACACGTCCTTACGGAGCCATCAGATCCAATAACCCTTGCATTAGACACCTTTAGCTCTAACACTAGGAGTAGGGACCCCGATAACCGTACTCGTCGAACTCCGCAAAAAGTTCGACGTGCAACCTAACCTAAGCATCAGTCCGCTGCGTTTCTCGCCGGATCTTCTCAGCAAGTCGCGATGCCAATCCGGTAGTAGGTTCATTCGCGAAGCAGCTACTCTTGATTTGTTAGGTCTCCTTTGGAGGCACTCGGGTAGCTGTTAGCAAATCCCACCCCTCCTGGCTAAGCACTTGCTCGCCCACCTGTACTTGTGAAATTGGAAAGGCCTCCGGGCCACCAGTAATCCCTCCAACATAAAAAAAACGAATCGCTAACCACTTTAACAACAATAAACGCATGATGACTAATCAGGAAAACGGACATTGGATTGCGAAGACAATTGTCAATACTTTCAAAAGATGGTAAAAACTGATTGAATATAAACTTCGATCAGCTATTATCAAACAATGAATTGGTGTACGATCAATCAATTATATTTTTTATCGACGTAACGTAAACGATTAAAACATCAAACCTGAACCTGAAGTTCAGACTATGTATTTCAAGGTGATCTGTTGACCGATAAGAAAAGTAACATTTGTCAGGGCGACCACGTGTATAGTCGAATTGAAATCGGATTTTTTTGGCTCAACAATTTTATCGCAGACTTGTATTACCAGAATACGATTCGATTTTCACGGCTTCCCTTCAAATATTGAATTATATTATATTACAAACAAGACTAAGTCAGCGGTTTTATTAGCAGTTTCCTAAGTAAACGGTTTTATTAGCAGTTTCCTAAGTCAACGCTTTTATTAGCAGCTTTCTAAGTAAGCGGTTTTTTTTGTTTTGTTTTAATAGATAGAGATTAATTAGAGAGTCTCAAAAGAGTTTCACCTTGAACATGCACTTCAGACCATCCAGTTATAGAATCATTTCCTCTAGTAGCAGTTAACCTCCATCTGCCTTCGTCTTCTTTAATTATGTTACGGACTCTCACACCGCATCCATCGCTCCAACTTTCGTACCTAAAATAAAACTTGGCAATTCAGTTTCAGTCATCGTAATATTAATGGTTTAACACCAAATCTTTAAAACTCTAAATCAATTATTTATATTAAGCAAAATTAAATGAAACACGCCTTAATGAAATGAACGGTAAACTGATTTTCCTTTTGTAAATATCTCTAATTATCCCACACTCAGATTCAACTCAGGCGACGTGGCAATGGAAAGCGTCTTTCCCCGAAACATGTCTTATCGGATCCCCCCGATCCGCTCTGGGTCAACTAACCCATAGACACAGCCCACTGAGATTCTCAGTGGGTCGCAACCTTGATCCCGTGGTAGCCAACTTTCTCAGACAGCCCCGTGAGCTCACCTATAAGCCATTGTATAGGTGGAATAGCTATTTATGCTACCAACGAAACCAGGAACCTTTCCTGGAAACCTTCACAAAAACCTTTCGTAGAGTGTAAAGCTGTACCATTAGATACAGTCCGATGAATGGCTTATAAACGCATAAAGAACAAACATAAAAATGTTCAGTTGTATACACATAGGTAACTGATAACTTGGCTACACTTAAAACGTTGGTTGGTGGTTTGAACATGAAAATATTACAAAATACACATACACATTTAATATAATATACGTTTTAAACATATTTCACTATTTAACCAAAAATGTGTTATTTTATAAACCGAACCTTCTTATCCTTGTAATCTTTGAAAGTTTGCGTACTAAATGGTCAATGTCAAAAAATTTTGTATCTAACTGACCTGTTTTGAGGGGGCTGGCGAACATCAAACGTGACGCCTTTTGGTGTTGTGACCGAACAAGACTGCTGGTTTACCAACTCTCTGTTCAGTTTTAAAAGAGCTTCATGTCCCTTTGCTACTCTTAATTCATATGGCGACCCTAATCCTCGTTGCATTAAGTATAAGTTACCTAATCTCACGTCAAATGTTGCTATCTGAGTAAATCCATGATGAATCCAAATAGACACTAAAACGAATTTAGCACTTAGTCAATAAAAAATTGCATGTTGGTCAATTTTGTATTTTCTATTAATTAGAAATTAAGCATAGTTTTTGTTGTTTCTGGAGTTTATTGTGTAAAAAATAACCAACATTTAATTTCTGATTTTACATAATAAGCTTTTTGAAATTATGTTCCCTTTATAAAGGTCTCACTAAGTTAATCATATAATAACTTACCTAGGAGTGCAATAATAAAATCCTTCATTGTTTTTTAGATTCCAAAAAATCAAATTACGCGAGCTTAAAATAGCACATTGTCTGTCTGTAAACATCAGCTAGACTGGAAAAAATTAGCAGACTAAGCTTAATTTATCGACTAGTTATCACTGTATTAATCACTCGCTATTGCTTCATCTGATGTACGATAGCTCTTATGTTAATTATTATTCTATAAAGCTTGATAATCATGATTACGTTCACGAATCAACACGATTTTAGGATTAAGATTGTTTCATAGATACAAAAAAAAGTTATTCTGTATTATTTTATTTGAGGGTTGTATTATAAAAGACTCCTAAATATTGCGCACTAATGAATAATATTCATTAATCATTAAACGTGTAACTTACTTAAATTTTTTATTGCTTTATGATAGGCTAGCATACGGTTCAGTTTGGTTCAGTTGTTGATTGTTGGTCGTCGTCGCATACGGACGTCGGCAACGCCATGGGCATGCCAAAACGCATGGGCATGCCTAAATAGTAGTGTAGATAATTATTAATGTAAGACTTTTACAAGTAAGACTTTTTAAAAGTTTTGTAATGTACGATTTGTTTGCAAAACAAATTCACCAATTATGAAACAACAGTGATTTATATGATTTATCTTTTCTATCTTAAATACTTAGTCCGGCCATAAAATATAATGTTACAATTAAAAATAAACAAAATATTACATTTGAATTTGGAATCTGTCATTTTTACATGATTGCTCATTGAGTTTTCTCATTTTAGTGCCAATACATTGTACAATATTTTGCGATATTAAAATGGAGTGGGGTGATAAAGAGAACCGAATCGCTGTGATTGCATTACACAAAGTAGGTATGGAGACAAATGCAATTTCTAAAACTCTCCATACGCGTGGTATTAGTAAAATGTTTGTGTACCGGGCTATTAATAGGTGCAATGAGACCTCCTCTGTTTGTGACAGAAAAAGAACTGGCCGTCCACGTAGTGTTCGTACGAAAAAGGCGGTCAAAGCAGTAAGGGAAAGAATTCGAAGAAATCCTGTCCGACAGCAAAAGATTTTGTCTCGGGAGATGAAGATAGCACCTAGAACCTTGTCGCGTATTTTAAAAGATGACTTAGGACTTGCAGCCTATAAGAGATGTACTGGTCATTTCTTAACTGATAATTTAAAAGAGAATAGGGTGGTAAAATCGAAACAACTACTGAAGCGGTACGCAAAGGGAGGTCATAGAAAAATTTTGTTTACGGATGAGAACATTTTTAGAATTGAGCAACATTTTAACAAACAAAATGACCGTATTTATGCTCAAAGCGCTAAGTAAGTTTCCCAACTAGTCGACAGAGTGCAACGTGGGCACTATCCGACTTGAGTGATGGTTTGGTGAGGTATTAGCTATAAAGGAGTGACTGAGCCATACTTTTGTGAAAAAGGTATCAAAACATCAAAAGTGTATCAAGATACCATTATTGAGAAGGTAGTGAAGCCCCTTAACAACACCATGTTCAATAATCAAGAATGGTCCTTCCAGCAAGACTCGGCGCCAGGTCATAAAGCTCGGTCTACGCAGTCTTGGTTGGAAACGAACGTTTCGGACTTCATCAGAGCTGAAGACTGGCCGTCGTCTAGTCCCGATCTTAATCCGACTCACAAGACTCACAAGAGGTCCTACCACCAGTAAAGTTACCCCAATAGCCAGTTTGAATGGTTCTTACATCTTGCCAGACACATTGAGAGCCCGCTGTAGGGGCGAGCGCGAGGTAGCAACTGTTCAAGCGGGTGTGAGTGAGATAGAGTGCTTAGTCTATTGCGATCTTTTACTGCACATTAGCTATCATTTATGGGATTTATCCTGCGTTCTTCAGGAAAGGAACATTAAAACCATAGCACCACGCGAGTTAGTGTGATAACATGAATCACTTTTATCTCACAAATATTTACGTTCGTAAACCAAGTTCTTTCGCGAAAGAGTAAAAATCATTGTAAAAATGATTCTATAATTTAATCAATAATTTCGGATTTATTTCAGAAGTCTGAAGAAACGCAGCAGACAACATGGCGCAGCGCCATCGAGTTCAAAAAACCAAAAACAGTCATAATATGATGCAGCTGTCAGCACACACATACACAAAAAGGCACGCGTGCGCGCACACACACGCACACTAGGAGTGGGTGATATAAATCGTATATAGATTCAATATCTATATATCGCACCAATATCGTTGAATCCGATATCGCCCCGCACGAAATCTATATATCGATATCAGCCGATACACGATATTGCTCGATGTGATGCGCATCGCCATATCGTACCGATTCGTGAATCGAAATCTATATTTCGATATCAGCCGATACACGATATTGCTCGATGTGATGCGCATCGGCATATCGTACCGATTCGTATTCGTTAATATCAGCAATATTCGTTTGGTTCGTATCGAATCGGCCAGAGTGAGTGAGCGCACGATAGGGATATCATGTGATGAATGAAACAGAAACAG